CATCTCCCGGCATCCAGCGGGGATCCCGGGGGCTGGCGGGGAAGAAGGCGCGGAGCACACCGGGACTGGGAGCGTGCGGCTGCGCAGACTGCTAGCGCGGGCGCGCAGGGAAAGGCGTGTCGAGCCTACGGAGGCCGAGGCAGTGCTGGCTAGCCAGCAAATCTGGTCAGTTTCGCAACTCTTTGAAGATAGCGAAAAGGTCCCAAACTCCTTTGTGTGGGGAGCACCAAGTAGGTTTCGGTCACCGTTGAGTAGGGCGCAGGTGTGGGGGGCCTATGGGACAACCTGGTTTGTCCAGGCGGTTAGCAAGCTTGTGGTCCTGATGGGGGCGAGTGTCCCTGCTACCTGAGGACGAATGGGCTTTTGAGGAGACCGTAGTTCACAGAAGGGTGAACTCGGGGCAGGGTCTGGACCGCAGGGGAGTCCTGGAAAGCCTGCTGGAGGATTAACTCTTGTACCCAGTGTGATGGACTCTGGCGAGAAGAAAGGAGGGAGAAGGGTGCTTCTGCTGGAGGAGGCCCTTGCGGGCTGGGCATGGAGGTGTAACTGCCCACGATCTACGGGGAAGGCAGCTCTGCTGGGCTGCAGCGGAGGCTGTGTGGACTACAGACAGGACGCTCGGGTGGGGAGTCCAGAAATTGCTCTCATGCAAATATCTATGCCCATACAGTAGCGTGCGGTAACTTAAGAGAAGATTTCCAAGGCGTTTGACAAGTTTCTTGAAGCTAAGTCTTGGGCAAGAAGTTGGAGGTTCGATGTGGCAAGATGTTTTATTTGCAGTGTTAAATTAGGTATTGCTGTTCTTCCCTCCCACTTAACTGCAGTGAGCACTCAGCAATAAAGTGGCCCAGATGTGACGCCATGTGATATCCATTCCCCACCAAAAGCAAAACAAAGCAAGAAGGCAGCGATGATTGTTCCTCTTGGGATGTGACTGAATGCCAGCAGCCTTCTATCTTTAGTTAGGACCCATTGATAATCTCTTTTGGAGTTTTACCTGATAGCCCCTGAACTAAATTCAGCATGTAGACCACAGCTGATATTTGGCCAGTATGTGCCCTGCACATGATTAATGTATTAACATCCATGGTAAATAGTAAATAAATGTTAAAGTTGATTAATACTCTAAGTCTTAGTATCATTGCTTTGTACTAATTATCGTGGGACATTAGTACCGCTAAGAGGCTTTTTGTCATGGCCAGATCTGAGACACGTTCATTTCAGGTTGGTTAGCCCCTGTCACTGAAGTGACTGTTGCCAAGTTCGTATGTTTACAAACACTTAGTGGTTTAGGAGAATCATTAACCTTAAGTACTTTTTTTTTTTTTTTGCTGGCAGGTTGTGATTCTTTGTAAAAAAAGTAGGTGTGCAGGGTTTTTATATTTATATTTATTTTATTTTATTTGGTTTTTTTGAGACAGGGTCTCACTATATAGTTGAGACTGAACTGGAACTCACTATGTAGCCCAGGCTGGTCTCGAACTCACAGCGATCCTCCTGCCTCAGCCTCCCGAGTGCTGGGGTTACAGGCATGTGCCACCACGCCCGGTGGGTTTTTATATTTATACTCTTAGATTTTATTATAAAACATTAAAAACATGCCTAGAATGAAGACAACAAAATAACACATAATTTTTTTTCAGTACAGGGGATTGAACGCAGGGCATCACTGAGCTATCTCCTCAGACCTTTTACTTAGTCATTTTTTGAAACAGGGTCTTGCTATGTTGTGAAGTTGCCCAGCTTGGGCTTGAACCTGTGACTCTCCTTCCTCAGCCTCCAGAGTGCTATAAATGACACCTTAATGGCGATAACAGTATTTAGCTTTTCAAGAAAAATGTTTATTAGAGCTGGCATTATCTCAACTAACTATAAAGTAGTTGGACATACGTAAACAGTTTGAAACAAGTGGAAGGTATTTTCTAAAAACATAGGTATATTGTTTGAAGAAAATGAGCCATCAATTCCAGGAGGAAAATGATTGGATTTTCTAATATGGAAATGTATGTGATGACAAAGGTGAAAAATGTAGTGAACTTCTTAAGTTTTTCAACTTTTTTGGGGGAGGGCAGTGCTGGGTATTTAATCAGGGCCTTGCACATACTTGGCAAGAACTCTACCACTGACCTACATCCCAAGCCCTCAAATTTCTGGAACCCTAAAATCTTGGGCTACTGGTTTGTGAAGATGCATGGATTGAGAATGAACAAAAAGTTGTAAATTAAGCTAACTGGTTACAAGGTATTTCCATAAATGATTTTTATGGTTTAATACCTAGAAATCTTAGATTATATTGTAAAGTCATAAAATATTTAAGTGTAATTGCTCTTCATAAGCAGAGGATTCAATATCATAAATAATATCGATGGTAAGAAAAAAATCTCGATTTAATTCATCTAATGATCATCAATGTAATGTGGAAGTTGTTGGAAGAATTTTATATCCCCTATGTCAAATCATGATCCTTAAGAGATAAAAATCTAGTGGTGACTGCCAAAAGCTTAATTTCCCCAATCAAGAAATGATTTATATCCATTAAAATGACCTGGTTTGGGCTGGGGATTAGCTCAGTGGCACTGTGCCTGCCTTGTAAGCACAAGGTCCTTCGTTCAATCCTTGGTACTGTAAAAAAAAAAAAAAAAAAAAAAAAAAAAAAAAAAAGAATGACCTGGTGAATTATTTTTGCTACCAGCTGTATTACTTAAGTCATAATAGCTTATTTAGGCAATAGGAGATCTGCTTTACATGTTGATCTGTATATTAAGATTACCTTAACAGCTCAGTATTTTGAATATCATTTCTGTGGGAGGTAGACCCCTTCCCTCAGTGAACCTAGAGCAGGCTGAGCCCTGGAGATAGATTTTTGTTTTGGTTTAAATATCTGGCGAGGTCATATAAAACAAAATCTAGATTTTTTTGCTTTGTTTTTTTGAGACAGGGTCTCACTTTGTAGTTGAGACTGACCTGGAACTCACGATGTAGCCCAGGCTGGTCTTGAACTTGCAGTGGTTCATCAGCCCCTCAAGTGCTGGGATTACAGGTGTGCGCCACCAGGCCCAGCTAAAATCTAGATTTTTTTTTTACCTTTGAAAAATCAAGGGCTGGATTTAGTTCAGTGGTGCCGCTGCCTGCCTCGCAAGTGCAAGGTCCTGCGTTTGATCCCCGGTACCAAAAAGGAAAAGAAAAATCAGATCAGCCAAGTGGTGGTTGCTTTTTTTAGATTAGTCATGAACTCTTCAGCTCCCCACGGTTTCCACTTGTCCCTCATTGGCCTGGTCTCTGTAATCATTTGAATTTATGGTCCCTGCTGTAGAGTTTTAAGCCTGGGCTCTTGGCAGGATGGAGGTATCATTTGTACCATTTGTTCAAACGAGCAAATCAAGAAAAGAACAAACTGCAGGCCCTCATCCCCATGATGAGTGTGTGTGTGTGTGTCTGGAGTGGGGGCTTATTCATCAGAGAGAAAAACCCCAGGAATCAGTGCTTAGAGATGAGATTATAAGATTATAAATCATTTTCTATGGGAGTAAATGAGATATCCAAGGGAGAAAGTAGAGAGAGAAAGCAGATTCAAGGAGAGACCCTGGAGAACGATCAACTGTATTTCAGGGTGGGAAGGAGGAGCAGCAGCCCAGTAGCAGTCCGTGGTCCAAGAGGCGGGTTGAGGAAGGCTGGTTATTCTATTGGCAAGTTTGGTGATGTATTGGTTAATATATAGATTTATCTGTTGTTGCAGAGATTAAAAAACAAGCCAAAACAACAACAACAACAACAGAAAACAGCATCATAAATCAGATGAAGTCTGGGTGGCAGTGTAGAACTTACCCTGTTTGTCTCCTCCCGCCTGCTCCTATTAGAGTGGTGTCAGAACCCACAAAATCCAGGGTGAACTATCACTATGCCTATATTTTGGCCATCTGGGAGAGGTGGGCATGCCCTACTTTTAATGTACAACTTAATAGTGCATCACACACATTACCTTGGCTCACATCCCATTGGTTATAACCAAGTCATAAGATCACACAATGGAAGAAGAGGCTGAGAAATTTAGTCTTTTATCTTGGAAAGTTATGTCTGGCCAATTACCATGGAAGAAAGCAGGAATGGATACTGAGAGACACCCGTCACTCTGTCTTACGGGTAATACAAAGAAATGGGTCCTTGAGAAAGGAGTGGGAATATTGTAGATGAGTTAGGCAAAGGTGGCTCCCTGGTGGCTGAAACGGGGAGTGACCCTGGCAATAAGGCTATGATTGGAGTAGCGAGGCTTCCTGGTTATAGCAGACGCCTGATGAGCCGGACAGGGCAGCGGAAATGGTGATCTCGGGAGACATCCAGTCTTCTGAGCAAGGCCCTCCAGAAGCAGGCAGGGGGAAGAGGAGGGAAGGCAGGCAGGCCTGACCCCTGGGGGGATTTCGGGACTCTTCCCTTTGCTGGGATCAGAGACAGAAGCAGCCAGGTGTAGCTGATTGTATCAGGATTTTGCCATACAAGATATATCTGTGCATACCTGTAATATGTGTATATACATCAGTGATAACAGAAGGTTACATACATACATATGAGAAATAAAACCAGAGAGAGGAGTTTATTTCTAGGAATGGATTCACACAGTGTGGAAAGCCTGTTTTGCTCTTACAGCCTTTCAGGTGATTAAATAAGGTCTACTCACATTTTCCAGGACAATTTTTTTTTTCCTATGGCAGTACTGGGGATTCAACTCAGGGCCTGTGTGCTGAGGTATATTCCCCAGCCCTTTTTATTTTATTTTCTTTTTTATTTTGAGACAGG